GTGATCCGATGCTGGAAATCACGAATACTATGGCAGAGGACACAGGACTAGGTACATGTTACAATGTTTCCCTGACGCTCCGACTAACTTGCCAAAACCAGGTTGAACCAACACTAAAGCTAAATGAGACTGCAACCAAACAGAAGGCCACACCATTTTAAACTTCATACCTACGATTTACTATTGATTCTTTGGCTTCGATTTGATCTGGCTTTTGGGCTTTCGCATAAGCCTTAGACTTCGATTTTGTTATGCATTCAGCTGTCGCATCACATACGACCTGTCAACTTTTCATATCAGTTATGAGTTCGTGATATTTGAGGCTTTATAAAAATATATTAAATAATTAATTTTTCCTTTCCACCTTTTTTTCTTAGATCTTTTCAGCTTCAGGCAAGTATCTTCGTGACCTATTACCTCCAGCATCTTCGTCAACTTCTCCCTCTGGAAATACTGGTAGTGACTTGGAAACTGGTATTGATGCCTCCATCTCTGGATCGAGAACTGTATCCTCTGCATCAGGTCGGCATTTTACCCTTTCTCCCTCATTAGCATTCTCCGCCTCTGCTTCTTCTTTCGTCTCTTCGACAAGTGGCAGTAATATTAGCACAACTCACTTGTGTCCTTCCCCTCGTGGTCACCTGGGTGGCATAACTCTTGGGTATCCTGCTGCTGGTTGGCACACGACCAGTTTCTCGCGAACTCGCACACTAGGTTGGGTTGAAGAGGAAGAAATAGATGGTAAGGGATATGGCCTGGCTACAGTAGATGGTGCGGTGAATAACGGAGACGATGAGTATTGTGAAGAATGCGGTGAATTCGGAGATGTTGAGGCTGATTATGATAAGGATCTAGATGATGATGGCTTGGGCATCTGTCTTTTAGCAAGTCACACTGATAGAAGCCGATCAGCTGTTATTGTCTGGCCCGAAGTGGCATGGAGCCCCGATCATATGCCACCACATTCCTCAGCCCAGGAGATGGCCTCTTCTCGACGTACTGGCATCCTAGTTGCTCCCTATATCGACCTCTCCGACGCCAATTCGGGTTCTATCCCTAGCTCCACAACCACATCTAGTACCATAGTTACTCCGACTCCGGAGCGGGTTCAACAGTTTTCACAATCCTCAGTGAGCTCTTCTCTGGCATCGTCTGTCACATTGCCTTCAGGCTATCGGCAACACAAGACTTCAGCAAAACCAAAGAGACTTGGCTGGAAGTGGCAGCGTTCGCACTATTCGGAAAATAACAAATTACGCCAATGCATTTCGTCAGCCGAGGACAGAAGACTTATGGCCGAGGCGATTGTACAAGCGTATATCATCGAGACGGAGCCAAGCTTTCGTCGATTGGCTGGACTCACTACTCTGCCCGGAGCTACTAGGGCTTGTATCGTCGTAGATCTTGGTGGTCAAGCCGCTTATCGATTACGCTACGCCTAAACGTCGCGCCTATCCATCTATCTTTTTTGTTCTTCCAGTTCTTTTCTTACATGAACCTATCTCATTTGTTCATGTTAAAGCCGAATCTATCTCTTTATTTCAAGTTACCTTTCCATCACTCTTCTACTTTTCATAATCCTAGTTTGGCCTAGTTTTCAAGCTTTCCTTCTCGCCTCTGATTAGCTTTTGCACTTTTATTTCTCTAACTTTGAACTATGTTCTTTTAAGACTATGTCTCTTATTTAAATTCTATGCCTGAACTGAGTTCCGGCTCTTATATACTCAGTCTAATTATTTGTAGATATTATGTGCCAGTCTTAGGCTCTGCTTACTCTCCCTCATATTTTCTTTTCCTTTTCTTAACCAAATATACTCATATTTCCCTTATTTCATTGTATCTTCACTCCTCGCCTTAGATTACCAGATTTTACCAACTTCACTATACATATCATACTTAGCATGTTTTTCGCTTGTTGTTTGTATATTTTGTCACTTAATTTTTCTTTAACCATTATAACTATAGCTACCTGTAATCTGGTTTCTTGTTTAGTCCTTAGTCTGAGTGAAACATTTAATCTCTCTTGCTCTGCACGTGTTTACTTTGTGCCATTTTATGTGTTACCTTTATTCCTCCATATTTTTCTCTGTATTCGCTCATGTCTCACCTACCTGCCATATATTCTTTTGCTACTTATGAATATCAAAGGACCCTTTGTGCCTACATTCTTATTTTAGCTAAAATTTCCTCGGCACTGCATCCTCCGTACTTTAATATTGCCACCATTCCTTCGCCAATTTTGGCGTGCCCTCTTTCTTTCAACATATTTCTCCCTACATTTTAACCTTTTATTTATCATGATCACTTCTATTAATGCATACCTGATTCCTATCTGCTTCTCATCGGACTCAGCCTATTTCAAAAATATAACCAGCTTCAATTTCTTCCTCACTTTCATTTGGCTCTTCACAGATACCTGGCTTGCATTGGATTCTCGTGCAATGTGAAAATTCCCTAGGCGCATGTATTGGGATTAGAAGATGAATATTTCATGCATTTATTTGTAAATAGATCTAGTTCTCTTGATTATTCCCAGTGCATTGAAAGTTATTTATTTTCTACCTTTTCTTGCACCCTTCAAATCTTTTGTATTCACTCTATTTCTATCGTAGAACTTGTCAGCTCTTCATCTTTTTGGATGTGCTTTATATGCAACTTATATCATCTAGGAGATACTTAAAGTTCCCGAATAACCTATCAAAGGCTGTTATAGCTATTTATCGTGGCCTCTCTTATTCTTTACTTTTAGGTTAGTCTTTCTATATTAGGAAGTGTTTTATACTTATATACAGGGTTATTAATTCGCCTCAGCCAAGAATACTTTCATACTCTCTCATTAATATGAATATATAGAGATAAAGAGACATATTTAGAGAGGCCCGGACGTAGACAATCTTTTGGAAGACACGTTTGCATGTTCATTGCCATTATAGCTATCAATGGCATTTCATGGATTCTTGTACTGAGCTTTGACCTCCTGTGATCCATATATGCATACAACCCGAATAAGAACAGGTTTGGACCTCATTTTGTTTGGTAGTCTTGAGTAACCTCTCTTCATTCTCACTATTTTATACCTTACTATCTTTTAACATCCATATTCAGTTAATTTTTCGCATCATTACACTTATTCATGCTCCGTTTTTTCTTCTTTATTTTGTTTCGTATCTTTTTAATTTTTCGGTCTGTCGATCCTTTCCAATTCATTACTTGTGACATTATATTGTCAGGATTGCGAGCCTAAATATTCATTGAATATTTTTCCTTTTTTCCTGTTGATCCTTTACCCTTCATTTATCTTCTTTACTTTATCCTTTTTCCCAATACGCGCACATTTGGAAGCTTCTTTTTTATCTTGCTCTCGCAACTGTCAATTTCTTCTTTTCTCGCATATTTGCAGCTTTTATTTCTGCCATTTCTTCGAAGACAATATCAACCAAATTAATAAATAAGCGATTTTTACGTCTTTCCTGACACATGCTCCCGGCAACTCGTGCTTGCTTATGCAAGCGTGCCACCATTACATCTGTATTCGCTTAGTTTTTATATACACTGGTGGCCGATTTGTCCAGGCTTACCAGACTTCCTTTGATGATATCTCATTTTGCACAAGACTCAAGTACACCATTTTTTCTATATTCATTTTCCTTCCTCTATTGCCTTGTCGTTTATACAAAGTTGGAGTTTGCTCTGATTACTCAAGAGTAGTATATCCCACGCCTTTTAATTGGCCTAGATTCATGTTGATATATCTAGTTGACAATTTTACAAATAAATCTTACTCTCACCATACTTTTTTAATCTACAATCCCCAGGTCATTCAAATTCTACCTACATATAAGACTCATATTCATTCGCCTCCATCCGATACTCTTCAATTCCAAACGTTAATATATGTTAGGCATGAAGAGTTATTGGGTTTCGATGAATCTTCTGAGATAAAATTGTTGGAGAGACTTATTTCCTATAGAAGCACATGAAGAAGATATTCGTATATTGATCTCACCATTATACTGCAGCCATTTTAGCTTTGATACAACGTTCAGGCTGACGCAGTCCACAAAAAATCCTATCTTTTTCCGGGTTAAAATAGGCCAAGCTTTCGTCCATTATATGATGGACATCATCAGAGCTGAATCTCAGTCTTGTAAAAGTCTCATGTTATCACTAGGTAAAGAAGCCTATCCAGATCTATCTAGCCTCTTATATATACTTATACATAAAAAAATAAAAATAAATGTGCATAGCATGGTTTTGGTTCGACTTTGTTTTCGCAAATTGGTCGGAGACATTGTGGAACGTACCTAGTCACATATCCTCTGCCATAGAGGATATGTGATTTCGAGTATTTGACAATCGGCTGTGTACATTCACAAACATTTCGCTGGCATCGTCCGTGAGAGGTGCCATTCTTAGCATAGAGTTACAACTTATCAAAGTGACAAGTGAAGACAATCCCCTTGAACAATTTTTTTC